CCCCTCCCCCCACGTACGTTTTGTGATTGAGGTTCATATCAGCAGACATATGGGAAGACTATGTTTATTTTTAGACACGATCAACTGCGCATATCATCAATTAAGTAGATTAAAGTGTGCCATCGAAAAACGATTGCCACCCATTCTCGCTCAGCCTCCACACTTGCCTTTCGGTTCTTCTTTTGCTTCCTGTTTGAGAGGCCCGCGCCGTGTAGCCTCGCTCCTCGTGCCGCTTGCTACTTGTAGCTACTGCTGCATCAACCCCTCCACCACCGGAAAGTAGGCGGCCGGTAGAAATTGCCTAACTCCCAGTCCAAAAGCCACACCATCAGCAATCAGCAGTGAAGTCAAAGTGCAGAAGTCACCTCATCCATCACCTGTTGTCTGCATTTTATTTTTTTTGTGTGTGTTTTCTTGTCTAATCTTGGAAGCGTGTTGCAGCGTAACTGTGAAGTACTATCTTGTGAAATGTTGTCCTTGTTCGGGCGCTTCAGCTCCAGAAGTATTGGCAGTTGAGTATATTTGATTCCTCAAACTGTCATGAAGAAATGTCAAACTAAAGTTCTGCCATTCTGATGTTTATTCTTGCTTCCAGATATGTCACTACTTTCACGGAACTGCTCAAGCTCATCTCAGTATGAGACCCTTGTTGTCAAATCGCACTCTCCGTTTGTTTACCATGTGGAGTTAAACCGCCCTGATCGCCTAAATGCTTTTAACAAGACTATGTGGAGGTACGGAACCGACTTTGTACTCTATGTTTACAGACAATGTATGATTTATGGACAAGGAGCATGACAAACTGTCAATAGCATCTTTTTTGCCTTAGGGAAGTCAGAGAAGCCTTTGAAGCTCTGAGTGAAGACAAGGAGTGTAGAGTCATAGTTTTATCTGGATCTGGAAAGGCGTTTACAGCAGGTGAAAACAAATTTATTGATTAGTGCTTTCATTTGATTGAATCAAAGTTACCCCTATACTTTTATGTATCTCTTTCAGGTCTTGACTTATCTGATGCTGGATTAGTTGTCAATGATGAAGAGGATATTGCCCGTCGCTGTAGAACTATGTATAAAATTATAAAAGCATATCAAGGAAGCTTCACAGCCCTCGAAAAGGTACTTTTTGCTTCCTACAACTTAATTCCAAAGAGAGTGTTTCTTTGATACTATATTTCTTCACAGTGCTCCAAACCTGTAATATGTGCAGTTCATGGTCCTTGCATTGGTGCTGGTGTCGATATGGCTTCCTCTGCCGACATCCGTTTATGCTCTGCTGATGCTTGGTTTCAAATTAAGGAAGTTGATATAGGTATAGTTTTATATTTTAAAATGAAGATTGCTAAGGATTATTTTCGTCGCTTAAAATATTAGGATTTATGAGTAAAGGTTATCCTGTTTTGAAATTTAAATATGTTGGCAGGATTGGCAGCAGATGTGGGTACTTTGCAACGACTTCCAAAGGCAATTGGAAGCCTTGGTCTTGTGAATGAACTAGCTCTCACTGCTAGGAAGTTCCTTTCTGCTGAAGCTAAGGAATGTGGATTTGTAAATACAGTGTATCCAGACAAACCAAGGTATATTATTTATTTCTTGTTAAGGCTCAAGTTTTCTTTGGTTTGAAGCTGTTCTACACTTTTCTTTCTTGGGGAAATGTTTGAAACTATTACAAATTTTGCAGTTTGATAAAGGCAGCATTTGAAATGGCTGACAGTATTGCATCCAAGAGTCCCGTAGCTATTCAGATGACGAAGAAAAGCATTGTGTTTTCTAGGGACCATACAGTTGATGAAAGCTTGGAGCACATTGTAAGCACTTTTTCTTTATTAGTCAACCTGTAAAAAATATTAATTTTCAAAAAACTTAGTGCTAAGATTGCTACTGAAATAATTTTCTTTTCTTTCTAGGCTATATGGAATCAGGCCCTTCTGCAGAGTGAGGACCTTATGAAGTCGGCTGTGGCTGCAGCAACCAAGAGTCCACTACCACCATTTTCTAAACTGTGATATAATTTGCCTATGAGATGCATTTTCAGAATATCTTTTATACAATAATATTAAATAAAGAATAAATAAATATTTTAACCATCAAAAGTATTAACTGCGTGTAAACTACTTAATTGCTTTCATGTTCTCAGGTTGTATGAAAGTGCTGAAAAGAACATTACTGGACCAACGCAAATGTTAGGTGGATTCAAAATTACTTGGGGGCATTGATGTGCATTTCATTGTGTCCATCATGATGTTTGCTCAGCCAAGGCAAGCAGACTTCCTCCCAATTTTCTGCGCTTGATCAGCTTTTTCACTGGTATCAGACTGTATATATTTGGTTTAACTTTGACCTAATGTGGTAAATGCTGTCAATTATTGTTATGCAAAACTCATTTAAGCTGAAAGCAGCAAGTCTTGACTGCATACTTAACATTGTACAAAGGTAGTCAGATGATAAAGCTCAATTACATGTCAAAAGTAATTTTGTGGGAGTTCTATTCAAAGTTGCTGTATGCCTTAGAAAAATATTACTCACCATAATCTGGTTTATATAATACTCATATGGCACAGTCCCAGTTTCAGGATCCACAGCTACTGTGAGCATCTCATCTAATTCATCCTGGGAGAAGGGTTCTCCCAGCTCCAACATATTCCTCATTAAAACTTCTTTTGATACAAACCCTTTCCTTTCTGGATCCATTACTTGAAAAGCCTTCAGGAGTGCTTCAGCAGATGCTGGTTGCATTCTGTGCAAACAGAAAGTTTGTTTGTTTTTTTTTAGTTTCTTTTTTAGTTATTTTAACATAATTCAATCTTTAAATATGTTCAAGATTGATGAAGTTCACAATTTTATTTTATTAAAAAATCAAAAGAAAACTTACTGGTACTCAGTTATAACATTTACCATGTATGGCAAAAATTTATCCAAAGAAACACTGCCCGTATCAGGATCCTCTACTTCCATTAATACTTCTTGCAGTTGAGCCTCTGTTGGGCAGCAGCCTGTAAATGGCATTTTATTAAAGAAAGTATAGGCATCGAAAGTAGTCCGTTATTCTTCAAAAGAAAACAAACTTTTAACTTGCCTAAGGATCTTATCACTGCTCCAACTTCCCTCACATCAATATTTTTGTTTTGGGCGTGATCAAATATTTCAAAAGCTTCAATTATTCTGCGCTCTAAGTCATTGGCGGGTCCCTCTAAAATTGAACCAAATTGTAGAAATTTTCATTAATTATTGAAAAGTAAAAGTGTCATATCACTTTTTATGAAAACGATACATAATTATTAACAGATATATGAGTATGGCCATGACATACGGTCCTGTTCTTCCATTTGTGCTGTGCACTTTTAATTTTGAAAATTTGTACCAACGTAATCTTGGGTGGGAGGCTGTGGAGAAACAAATCTAACAAATGCAAAAATTCTGCTGCTGGATTTGTTGCCAGGCAACAGGGCTGCCTTCCCTCCTCCCTTCTCCTGGACTACCTGCCGCTGCCTCTGCCTCCCACCTACTACATCACCTATCACCTACATTCCCAACATGCTAGCTCTCTCGCTCGCTCTCTCTCGGGCGGCCAAAAGGGAGAGTGGGAGAGGGAGAGAGATAGGCGAAGGGACGGGAAGTCCCGTTAATGCCCCATCCCCCTCCCCCCTTTCCCCTGCCCCGGCGGGCCCCCGGCTCTGTTGTGTGTTGTGGTTTCTGTCATTTTATGCCAACATGGATCAGGATGATTCGAAATCCGAGGTGAAAAATGGAAAGGAAACAGTATTAAAGGTAGGACTTTGAATAAATAATGAAAATGTTTATTCATCTTTTACTTATTTTGAAAGAATATGATTCAAATCAGTTTGCCAGTATTTGAAGGTTAAGGTTACCCTCAACCTTTCACAACCTTCCTGAGCCCTCTTTGATATTCCAGGCTAATAACGCTCATCATAAACATGAAAATACGTCAGGAGGTTATCAAATTAATCCCAAGGCTTTGAAGGTTCACATAGAATTGGACTGCATTGCTGTCCTCTTATTCCTTTTTGGTTTATTTATGAGGTTGTATCATCTCGATGAGCCTCGCAGTATTGTGTAAGTCTCTTCCAGCAAGTTGCTTGAAGGCCCACCTAACTCTTTCCATTTTGTATGAAGTTTAACACACTGTTTAATTCTCCTTGCTCCTTCAATTTTCACATCTTTATTTTTGACAGATTTGATGAGCTACATTATGGGAAGTTTGTGGGCATGTACATGAAAAGAATATTTTTCTTCGATCAGCATCCTCCATTGGGTAAACAGCTTATTGCTGCAGTTGCCTATCTTGCTGGATTTGATGGTAAATAATCTTATTTAAATCATTAAATTGGACGTGTAAACATTTGAATGGAAATCAATTGTTTATTTTTAGGAGACTTCAAGTTCGATAGCATTGGAAGCTCATACCCAGCTAACATCCCTATTGCTGCTCTGAGACTCATTCCTGCTGTGAGTGGAGCTCTTATTTTACCTACAGCACATCATATTATGCTGGAGCTTGGATTCAGTCAGTGGACTGGGGCCCTCGCTGGTTTTTTTCTTCTCTGTGGTATGGGTTGATCTAGAGTTTGTTTCCTAACTGATCAAATTTTAAATAGATAACAAACAAACATGTCTTTTTTAGATAACGCTTTTTTGACGCAATCAAGATTTATATTGATGGAGCCAATGTTGCTCCTCTTTTCATTACTTGGACTATTGAGCGTTCTTAAATTTAAAAAATTGAGGAATCACCCCTTCTCATTGTCTTGGTGGCTTTGGCTTGCCTTAGCTGCAACTTTCTTGACTTTAGGTGTATGGTAAGCAATTCACTCCATCCTCTCAGCCAACAGGTGATATGGCCATTGAAACTAACGAAGAATATTACTTTTGCAGTGTGAAGTATATTGGAGGCCTGACTTTCACACTCTGCATTGGGATTTTATTTCGTGATTATTGGCTACTTCTCGGAAACCGAATGCTAAAGGGTGGCTTCTTGCTCCGACAATTGCTAGGAAGACTTGCAGTTTTCCTTATAATCCCATCTGCAGTCTATCTGGCTGTTTTCTATGTTCACCTCAATGTATTAAATCATGCAGGGCCACATGATACCATCATGACTAGTGCATTTCAAGCTAGTTTGGAGGTATGTTAATAACTGATCAATTAATTTTCTTTTTTACATTTTATGATGAGGTGATAGGACCCATGTCTTTTTTAAGTCAGGTGTGTCAGTTTTAGGTAAGCTTTAAGTGAGGAGGGCTAAACTCCTTTTATTTTATTTTTTGTGTAGGGTGGACTTGCTTCAATCACTCATGGACAGCCTTTGCAAGTGGCTCATGGCTCTCAGATAACTCTGCGTCACACTCATGGGAGGCCTTGTTGGCTCCATTCGCACGACGCTGTGTACCCCATTCGATACAGCGATTCTCGAGGCTCATCACATCAGCAACAGGTGACATGTTACACTTTCAAGGTACGGTAACTTTTTAAGAAAGGAAAAAAAATCTTTTGATAGATGGTTTTTGTTTATATTTGTTTTAAATAATAATTGATGCCTAGGATGTAAACAATTGGTGGATTGTAAAACGCCCTGATCGCAATGATATGGTTGTATCTGAACCAGTTGATGCTATTCAACATGGTGATGTAATACAGCTTGTTCATGGAATAACCAGCCGGGCTCTGAACTCCCATGATGTAGCTGCAGCTATGTCACCTCACAATCAGGTACTGTCTTCAAAATAATATTTGCATGTATATTAAAAGTTAATTCATTCAGAATTTTATTATCTATCTGTGTACTTGTCTATAAGATAATAAAAAAAAAAAAAAAAATCTTCCAGGAGGTTAGCTGCTACATCGACTACAATGTATCAATGCCTGCTCAGAACTTGTGGAGAGTGGAAATTATCAATGAAGATCAGACAGGTCGAGTGTGGCATGCAATCCGATCTATGGTAAGTATCAGTAATGCAGTCATCACTGATATTTTAGTGTGGACAGACTTTTCATACATTCTATGCAAGATTTGAGGTGTATTTGTTCACACTTGGTAATTGCATAGTATTATGAGAACATTCCTTTGTACGGCTGGCCATTAGTCTGACTATTGCCCAAACAGGGAGCATGAGCACTGGCATTGTGCTCACCTTCCCCTGCCAAAAGCTGCCTGTAAATGAGGAAAACAATTCAAACTTTTTGTTATATTTCAGGTGCGCCTTGTTCATGTCAACACGTCACAAGCCTTGAAGTTTAGCGGCCGACAGTTACCAGACTGGGGTTACCACCAGCACGAAGTTGTTACTGATAAACATTTGGTTCAAGATGATACAGTGTGGAATGTAGAAGAGCACCGATACACAAAAGGTAGTGAAGTAAAAATTGTTCACAGCCTTTTTACTGTGGTAACTCACCCAACACAATTCCTGCAAGCATACATCAACATGTCGTTAATCTCTACCCCAATCACTCCACAGCTGAGGATCAAAAGGAGCGTGAAAGGGAACTTGTGAATGCAGAAATGATACCTATGACTGCTACAAAACTTACCTTTTGGGATAAGTTTCTAGAACTCCAGTACAAAATGCTGTTTTCTAACACTGAGAGTGTGCAAAATCATATGTATAGTAGTGATCCTTTAGAATGGCCTTTTCTCACCAGGGGTGTTGCATACTGGGTCAGCCGTGAGAGTAATGTAAGTTTTTGTGAAAGTAATAAAAATAGGTGAAAAATATGTGTTTGTAAAATAAAAGGGAATAATTTTCAACAACTAAAAATTTTCAGGCTCAAGTTCATCTTTTGGGAAATATTGTTGTGTGGTGGTCAGCATCATTTGGAATATTTCTCTATTCTGCACTTCTCTTGTGGTATGTTCTGAGAAGAAGAAGAGCTTGTTGTGATCTTCCTGATGGAATTTGGGATCAATTTATTTCCATTGGGGAAGTGCTTCTTGCTGGATACCTCATTCACTATCTCCCATTTTTTCTTATGGACCGCACATTGTTTTTACACCATTATCTGCCAGCGTGTGTCTTCAAAGTTCTACTTTTAGCTGCAACAGTGGAACATATTTATCTCCTCCTAAGGTATGTTTCAATAATCTGTCGCATAATTGCATCCCGTGACAAAATTTTGTTCCTCTACTAAAATTCTAACTTTTTTCAGGCATCACCTCAGATTTAAATTTATTGCTGTTGTATTCCAAGTAGTAATATTTAGTTGGTTACTGGTTATTTTTTGGGTATTCCGGAAGTTCTCTGTACTTAGTTATGGTACTACAGCTCTATCTGTTCATGACGTCCTTTCCCTTCGTTGGAGGTGGTCGTGGCATCTAATTCTTCACAGAAATGTTCATCTGTAACTCCTAAACGTGCATGGTTTTGGAGTGATGAATAAAGGTATTGTATTGTGTAGTTTGGTGTCTCAAAAATATGCTCAGTGGATGTGTTTGTAGTAAAGTATTTTGTTTGAATCAATTGGTTCTTGCAACAAGAAATGATATATATTTTAGAAAATTGTTTTAGATTTATATGTTGTGGAATTTGATAGCTCGTTAGTATTATTTATGCTCTCTGATTTAATGTATTTCTCTATTACAATTATACTATTATGAAACAAATCAAAAGACTGATACATTAGATACTTGTTCAGATGATTCAAATCCAAATTTGTTACTTATTTTTATAATTTTATGTCTGGCAGCATGAACATTAATAATGGGCAAGTGTAAAACTGGACTTTGTTTTGTGAATTTGACGCCATCAAGCTAGCTTCTTTTCCTGAATTCAGGGAGGGAACCCAGCTCAGTGAATTCAATTCAGTTCACTGAACTGAGCTGAACAAAGCAAGCTAATATGGCTGGTTCTGGGGGGGACAGAATGTCACTTTCCTTTGCATCTCTCATCTAACATCTCTTTTCATGTTTACTAAAATATTTCTTAACTGCCTCCTAATAAGTTGTAAAGTGGGTCTGACGTCTGACTAATAACAATGTCAAGATTTGGTTATACTTACATTAGTTATCCATGTTTTTAAAACTTGTTTAAAATGGTCTGTTTTACTTTAGACGTAACATCACACATGAAGAGTATTGCCTTTTATTGAGTTGTTATTGCATTTTTTAAGGTGTTGACATGGATTTATTTATACATAATTGTTATAAAAGTGATTCTGTTTTAGCACCGTTAAAGGGCGTTTTATATGTCAAAATTTTGAGAATAGTCTGTTTTAAACAGTGGTCAGCACATTAGCATTGGATTTCAATTCCTTAGCCTTATTGAAATTTTTAACCGTGCTATGGTATATCAGCCTGATGTCAACTTTTTGAAAGTATCATTTTATTTTTGTACTCTAATGTTGCGCAGCTATCTTCCTTTAAGCTCGTGTGATTTGTTTTTATTGCAGTATTCGAGATTTTATGAGAGAAAAATTTGTGAATTGAAGACTGTGCGGTTAAGCATGAGGTATTACAAGGTACTTTTTGGTACCTATTCATGATGTTTAACACCATGCAGGAATAAAATAAAATTTGTACAAGGTATAATTTAATTTAAAATGTTCATAAATATCTCTAAGAACAGTGTTATTTTAGATTTGAATGATACCTGAAATCATTGAATCACAGAAAATATCTTATTGACTGGAAGTGAGGAAATTTGACAGGAATCCATCAAAGCATCAGGCACCAAGTACAAATTTCCATCTTTCAGCAACTTAAAGGAATGCTTCCTCGCCCACATTCAGGTTAGATAAAATAATTGGTAGATTTACAAATAAAGCTACCATTTTAACAGCTTAGATAACAATTAAAAATGTGTATCATATAGCACAAAAGAAAAATTAGACCCGTTCATACACTAATTTTCAACAAGTCTAGGCTATCAATTCAACACAAAAAATTTGCTTGTTGTTTATAATAGCCTGTATGATATGAGTCAGGTGTTGGATAGATTTCTAGTTCCAATATAAAATTACAAAATTTTGATAGGTACCCTCAAGCATCCTCCTTCGCTCTGCTTAATATACATAATTGTTGACAAGACATGCACCCACTTCTGAAAAATTCAGGGTTTCTAAATATTGGCCACATACACTGAAATCACAGAAATAAATAGTTCAGTCTGTCTTCAGGGGCAACTGTGAGGAATGTGGCTCTCTAAAAAATACTTCTTGAAAAAAAATTGTAGTAGCTTCAAACATAACAAATCAATATGGAATTACAAAATTAATCAAGTAGGCATAACAGGATGAGTGCAGGTATAAAATTTACATTTTGACAGTACTTTGAGCAGAAGAAAGGGCTGGACCTGTCCGTATTGAAACAATATTTTCTTAGATCCGCCGCACAAGACACAATTACAGCATGATCCAAAGAAGAACATTATCAAATATTGCTGCTCAAAGCAGGAAGCTGATTATAACCATAGTCTTGAGTTCTGTTTAAGTAGCTCGTACAGAGTAGGCGCACAATCACGTTCCAGTCAACGCTCTGCCCTCTTCAGTCGATGTACTGAGCCAACCAGCGGAATCCCTCTCCATAGCCCTGGCGCTTCAGCACAGAGCACATGAAGAGTTCCAGGGGTCTCTCCTGGAGGTCTGACCTGGCCACCTTGCCCTTGCCAGTGGTCTTCCCGTACAGTTGGAAGTAGTGGCGCAGCTCATCCTCTGACGCAGCGTTCGGTCTGTCGATCTTGTTGCCCAGGATCAGGACGGGGCAGTTGCTCAGCTGCTCGTCCGTCAGCAGGCCGTCCATCTCCCTCTTGCTCTCGACGAACCTGTCGCGGTCGCACGCGTCCACCAGGAACACGATCGCGTCCACGGCCGGGAAGTAGTCTCTCCAGACGCGGCGCGCCTGGTGGTGACCGCCCAGGTCGAACGTCGTGAAGCGCATGTTGCCGATGGAGAGCTCCTCCGAGGTGGGGTGCAGCGTCGGGACGTGCTGCGCCAACCGGTCGTCCTTCAGCATGTGGAGCAGCGTCGTCTTACCAGCATTGTCCAGGCCCAGGAAGAGCAGCTTGCCCGACTTCTTGTAGAGGCCCAGGTAGCCCAGGACGCCGGCGAACCAGTCCCACAGGAACATTGTGACGGGGCCGGGTTGGCTCGGCCTGGGGGTGGCACAGATCAACGGGACAAGACGTTTGTTTTGTTTGGAGCTCGACGGCTGGGATCGGCGTCCACTTTGAGTTGGCTTCAATGTACACGGACAGCTGGCACAGCACAGCTGAGCGCAGCGTCGCCCTCGCTCTGCCACTGCCACTCGCCCAAATCCACGTCAGATCTGGAGTCCTCGGGGCACTGCCTTGTAGCGCAGCGAGCCGGCTACTACGGCAGCCAATCAGGGAAGACCTGCTGTCAAGCCACGGGGGAGAATTCCCTCCACAAGCGGGATTCTTTGAAAAGCTTTGAGTCTTCGAAGAGTCTTGTCTTGAGTTTTTCAAGGTCTTGTCTCGTGCTCGTGGGTCTGGTAAACTTGAGACGTAAGTATCCGTAGGGTCGTAGCCTGCTGGCTTGGTGCGGGCGTGCATATTTGCATATGCGCATATAGGGGTGAGCGATCAAATGATCAAATAAAGTGTTGGTGACCAAATACAAGACTGATTCCCATGAATCTATTCCAAACTTTATTTTAAATCATCCCATCGGTTTGAAACACAATTCATAAAAAGAGAAACTCGAATAAAACATTGGTAAAAATAGCCCATGAATACTTGATTTTGGTAGAAAGAAGACAATTTCCACTTTTTTTAAACACAAAACCTAAAGTACAGTACCATACCACAAACACAAACTAATTTAATAATTCCGATATTAAAAATTCGCTGAGTGTCTAAAATTATGAAGAAGTGAACCATACTTCAAAAATGAGGGCAAGATTAAGCAAAGCACCCCTTGGAGAAGAACCAAGGAATATTCTCCAGTAGGGAGCATGGCTGCTGGGAACAAGATAAATTTTACATTTTTCAGGGAATAGAACTAACATGTCAAAATACATTTGTATAAATAAGACTATATAGCAGCTGAGGAAGCTTTTACGTACATAAAAAACTGATATAACACACTGACTTATACCAGTAAAATTTATCTTGTCTCCCAGGCTTGTGGGGCACCCTGAAGGAAACTTTCCAACTGGGGGAATTTTAACAGCCAAGACAATACCAATGTCATTTTTAATCAGAAGGTAAATGTTCAAAAAAAACATTAAAATAAAAAACAATCAAAAAATGAAACTTTTTAGGATGATAGGATGTTACCACTTTACTCCTATCTGGCTAGTGTTTCCTACATACTAAGACACCACTAAAGGTTGATAATCCTAGTCAGATCACAGTAGTTCATAATCAGAGTAATTCTATGAGCCTTTACAAAGCCAATTAAGAAATTAATATAAAAATTTGCCAGACAGAATTTGAGAGATTTTAACAGACACGACTTATTAACCACACAATATATCCTTGCACGCGATTCTTACCAAAAACACTCATGCTGCCGCACTTGATCACAAATGCACTGAATATTTGAGCTTTTCCATTACAAATATGAGCCCTTTACTCCATTTTATTACATTTAATTGGAATGAACAGCAACAAAATCAACAACACCCCCCCTCCCAGCCCCAGAAAAAAATAACACCCAAAAAGGTAAAAAGTAAATTACTCCCAAAATTTTACAAAATCACAAACAAGATTTATAACCCACAAAAACAAACAACTCTGCGCCCGCGGATTCTCCTTCTAGATCTCACATACAAGGAGGCTGTCATCGACATTACCGACACCGACAGCTATAGTAAGAGTAGACCACTGTCACTAACGCGGGGAAGAGGCCATTAAACTGAGAAGTTCTCTCTCTCTCAATAACGCGGGGTCAGCGCACGCTTAAATGCGAGATGGAGCGCGAATACAGCTGAGACACACAACAGTCGGGAATTCATGGTATCACCTCAAAAACATTAAAACTAGGCAAAAGTTGACAAAGTATGGAAGAGCAAAGAATTACTTGAGAGTAGTCCTATAACTATTATTTCATGAGTATTTCCTATTCACAAAGTCAACATATCTCAAAACGAATATGGGACTAGATCTCAGGAACAATAATCAAGCAAATGTAGTGCAGTAGTAAATAGAGTCGGAATAAAACTCGACACCAAAATATGGCTGTAGCTTGATTCCTACATCTGAAACATCAAACCCCTGTTTCAGTTCTTTGAGACAGCTTTTGAATATTTAATGAACTACCAGGGGAAATAATTTGATCACTTCCATTTGGTGATGAATGTGCCAAATCATCTGGGCAAGAAGCTGAGTCCAAACGGGCGTTTGAACCAAGAGCTAGAGTATCATTTATTCTAGGAGGAGATACCACTACATTTGCATTGGCTTGCCTGCTAGTATAGAGAACAGGTTCATATGATTGGGCATTGTCAAGAAGAATATTATTAGAGCCAGCTTGGAATCTCAATGAGCAGGGTCTAGGGCCTAATGGTCTAGAGTCTTTTTCCTTATCCTTTCTCTCTCCAGGAGGAGGAGAGGAATTCAATGGCTGAGAAGCATTTTTTAATGATATCTGACCTAATCGCCTTTCACATTCAACTGAATACATCAGGGAATCAGTGGGGAGAACTTCAACCATATCACCAGATGCAAACAATTTAGTTTCAGGCAGTAGTCTGGTCTGATTCAATTTTGATGGGTGATTATGCAGAACTTTATAACTTTGTGAAATATTGTCTGACTTGAAATCATTGGTAGCATTAAATTCAGTACCTTTTGTATAATTTTCAAGAGGTTTTGATGAGTTTACCAAACAATCCTGATTATTCGAAACTTTTCCTTTAATTCTGGTCTTTTTGCTAGCCAGGCAATCTGTAGCGGAAACATCAGTTTTATTCCAGCTTGGAGCCAGGGGAGATCCAGCTGTACTGTGCATGACAGTGGAATTCATTCTGCAAATACCTGGACTATTGTTGATTGAAACTTTAGGTATGACCTCTTGCTTTGGAAAGGGCAGCATTACATCAGAAATTTGGGAGCTATTTGACTCAACTTGCTTGGCTTCTTGAGTTTTGGGGGAATCACCTACATTTACATTCCAATCATCCCAGCCACTCATTTCAAAATTTTTGTTTATGTTATTCATATGATTTAGTCTTTGAGAATCGTACCTATCTTCTTCCGATTTTGATCTGGCAATGGAATTTCTGGGTGACTGTTTGACACTAGAGCACTGTGATGAAGGGATTGTCAAACCTGATGGATCATCTGTCAGTGAGACTAGAACCTGACTAGCCTCGCCACTTCCAAGTAACGAAGAAGAATAACGAAGATTCATCAAAGCAGGACTATTTGGAGAATTGCTGATAGGCTCATAACTGTCTGTCTGTGTATTAGCATCAACCTAAGAACAAAAACAAACATTTAACATGATGTGATCAGTAAAATTTAATTTGCAGTTTACAATCTTCACTCTACATACCCTCATGAGTGACGAACAAGAACATGTTGTGCAGTGTTTTGTAAGGTGTCTCTCACGTTCCCTTTCTTCAAGAATTTTAGCAAGTATTGCAGCTGAAACTATGTCAACCGGAGGTTTTCCCTCGCCCACTTCTCTCTCTTCATCACTCATGTCTTTCTCTGTAAAACAAGAAATTCAGAAAAGTTCAAAATGTGCTAGACATTTACCTACATATTTTTTAAATATCAGAAATACTTACCAGATGGAGCTTTATTAACTGAGTACACCATTGCAGTGGGTGGAAATGTTGGAATAGGCACTTTGATTGTTCTTCTTTCTACCTTAGCTGGTAGACAATTACTCTCAGATGGCCTTCTTTTGCTTGTCATGTATGTTCTGACCTTCTGTTGGAGCTCGGTAGGTAACTGAAAAGGAATACCATCAATCCAAAATATTGTCGAGGGTTTGTCAAGGCACAACAACTTCGACTTAAGAGTAACACAAATTACACGAAATTTAAGAAAAAAAAGATCTTTTACTCACTTGTTCAAATTTCTGAGATACAAAATTTGCTGGTTTACACTGAAGAAATTGAATTGCTAAATTTAAATCATTTCTATACCGTTCCTAAACAACAAACCAACAAACCATTAAAATCACAAGAGAATTCGGATTGTTAAGAATTGGCCACATTTCAGATCACATTTCTGCATCCTACCACAATAAAATGACCCAGAACTCACATTTTCTTCTTGAAAGCGATTGACATTAAAACGTGCATCAACAAGCCTTTGAGTTAAACTTGCAACATCTTTTGTTAAGGCTCCTTTTTCACTTTCAAATTTATCAACGACTCTGAGCAATTTGTCCTCAAGCCCTTGGTTGACTTTCTGGACCCTCTTATATGACTCGTACAGCCTGTCAAAATTGAATTACTAAATATTTTGCACATATTTTATGAGAACTAAATGATTGCAACAAATTATACCTAGAATATTTTTCCTGCCATGTAAGAAGCTCTTCTGTCAAAGCAGCATATTCACCATCAGGAAACTTGTCTGCCTCAGATAGAAAGTTTGTCTCCATTGTGACAATATGACGCTCTCTCTCAACCAAGCGCTGTTTTAAGTTTTCTATTTCAACATGCAGATGAAGTGTGCTTTGGTCACAACTTCGGCATAGACAGCCACATTCCTGTAACAAAGATATAATGTTGAAAGAATGAATGAAAGAGTCAAAGAAAATACAAGGTCAACGGTACATGTACAGTCTTAAATTTATAACAGTTAACAATACTTGGAATTAAACAAAACTACTGGAAACGCAGACATTCCGCATGTCATGCTCGACATTACATTTTAAAATACCAAGTAAATCGTTAGATAAAAAGTTTTGACAAGCTAAGCTAGACTTACCTTACAACACTGCTCAGCCATGGCTGATAAACCAAAAGCCTACAGACTCGAGAAACAATTATATCAATCAAGCTGGTCATGTGCGTCAGATGTACAACACTGACGTCTATGTCAGTGTAGCTCTGCAAAATCCTGCACATGAAAATAGTATACAAATAAAATAATAATAATAATAAAAACAAAACTAAGAAAGAGATACAGATCCAGATAAATTAATACTGCAATAGTACGTCTTGTAAATTCAACGGCAATAACAAGAGCTTAAAAGAGCTGAGCACGCTGAGCATCATAAAATTCACATAAACTTAGATTAGAAAAAAATCTACAGGAATAATACATGCAGACAGGAAAAAGCTAAAGGCCAAGTCCTAAAAATTGCAATTAAAGTTAAAAAGTAACAAAAATTCAGAGCCATCTAAGCTTTTCAATGAACTCTAACTTGATACAATTACTCGGGCTGTTCTGAACATGTTGGCATATACAAAACAAAACTGAGTTTAGTTACAACGCTGCTATTTATCCCACTTATTAGTTATTGCCATGTTAATACCTTAATCCTTGAGCCAATGTTTGACAAGAGAGTCCAGAAACCAATGATACACCTGTAACACAGAAGAATAAGCATGGTAGAAAAATTCATTTACTGATTCAATGGAACAGTTTATCATTACTGTTTATAGCTTGATTTAAGGGATAATCACTAGTAGGGAAACATGATCAATATTGATAAACCACAGAGAACGTGAAACTCAAATCAGTAGCAGCAACTTCTTCAAACTATCTCGTGAACGAATAACGATAATTTGTAGAAAGGAACCTGTTTAGGAAATTACGACTTGACATTGACTTCTAGGTATGACACCTATAGGAGGAAAACAACATAACCTTCTCTTCACTTCCAGTACAGTAAAAAGTAACAGGGCGTACATGAAATTAAAATGAAAAGCATTAAACAGTGATACTATACAACTAGATAACAGATGACACATCTTTTATCACAAATCTTAAACTGAAATAAAAATAATAGAAAGAGTAAAACGTGTCCCTTGACGATTGTAAACCAGGTTCCAGCAGAAGACACTTCATTGGACTCGGAAAACCAATGCAACGTTACGAACTAGGCAACATTTATCGGATTCTCACCCGTCAGAGATGAAGAGCGGGCGTGCCCGACATTTCGCTACGTGAAAACAAATCAAAAACTGATTGATTACTTTCGGCAGAAAAGCAAGTTTAGACAGTCAGCAGTCAGTCCAGTCTGACGTCTGCGCGAGTGAAAGGGATGGGGAGTGGGAGAACTTGGGAGAATGTGCGTCATGTGGTTGTCGTCAGATCACCATCCCCCAGAAGATTGGAAGTTAAGAATTTAATGCCATAGTTTAAACATCGTTATATTTTTTCTCCAAAGGTCATCCTCCAGCTCCGCGTTAGTGACATTGATTTTCAGTTCAATGGTTCAATGAATGATAAACCCGTAACAATTTTGTGTAAGCAAAACTTTCTCATGTATTGAGATCTAGCCTCATTGTGGGCGTCAATATTTGAGAGTCGGCGTACGACTCGCCACCATCTTGAAACCGTCTGTGCTCAGCTCAGTGCTTACTCAAATTTCGTCAATATGACTGGGATTTTATTTTAATGACGCGATGGTTGACATTTACGATCTCAATATCATGTAATTAATTAGCTACTTTGACATGTGCGTGAATTTGTGAGCAATTTCCCAGCTTTCCTGAAGTCGAAGAGTCTAGTTATAAATTGAGTTTCAGTTTGAGTGAAGCGAGCGCGTATCTCTTCTCCTGATAATTTCTCGTGCCATTTGAAGTTTATTCACCTGTTTCGTATTAATGAGCTATCCTCCGGTTCTCCAAACTTGTCAATTATTATTTTCTCCATCAGAACCAGGTAATTTTGGTTGTATACCCTGCGGATGTTTTGTTTGGATTAGGGTTGGGTTATGTCTCCAGTTGCTTTAAGACCTGTAAATACTGACAGCATTGTAGTTTGTGTTTTGATTACTGCACTGCTATGTTGATTCTTGATCAAATCGCTGGGATTCTGAATGTTTTGATTGCTTGTCTTGATTGGTCTCCTTGCCCTCAAAACCGTCCCGAGAATCTTAAGTCATTCAGGTGTATGGATACCAGTAGCCTGTCTCCTTTAATTTTTATCAGCGTGTGATTAGGAAAAACTGGAGGCTTTTGAAAGGTCTGCAATTTCTAGTTGCACTGGGATCAAAATTTGTTTGATTTTGATCTTATTTTGTTAGCAGAGCCCTCAGCCCATGCAGGAATTCTCTATTAGATTACAGTGCTATTTCATTTTAGGGTTTGAATTATGTCTTTTGTTTAAAAATTTGTTTTTATTTTATTTGCCAGATTTTATTGAATGGTTATGTCGTACCCTGGTAGGCCACCCTTGGTCCCCGCCGGCATTCCAATGCCAAGCACAATGCCAATGTCATATGTGCCTTTAGGAGGTGAGTTGATAGTTGGAAAGGGGTGATATTTTTAATGCCCAGGAATATTGATCATATCAAATTCAACTAGCCTTTTCCAAAGGATTGAGTGTGTTTGCTACAGTTCAAATGTGTCCACAAAGTCTTTTTTTGTCGGAGATGGACTGAATATTTCTGAGTCTCTGTCATCTAATGTCTTTGACAAGCTGATCATTGTTTTAAGTTCCCATATCTGCAATATAGATGAAAAAGTTAACATTAAGCTAATTTTGAAATCTACTATTTCTCTCTGCAGGTGCTCCTTCCCACTTTATGCAGGTTCCAATGCCCCATGTGAGTCATATCTTTCTCAATTGAAGTAGTTTGAAGGCAATGTAATATCCTCTGCTTTTTAGTGTGATCTCTTAATGCGATACAGCTCCTACATAAGCTCAATATCAAAATAGCAACAATCTTTGATTTGCTTGAGTAGAAGTATCATAGTGAATAACCTGTACTTTGTGTGAACAGATGTTGGCAGGACCTCCAATGGCTACCATGGGAGGACCCCCTATACGCCCATTTCACCCACCTCGTGCACCCCATCAGAATCCTCCTTCATCTGGCTCAGCTCCAAGTACAAACAGTGCTCCTCGTTCTGAGCGAGGTTCTTTCCAAAATAAACGAAATTCTGAACCTGTAGAAGGACCATCAGTAACTGTCTTTGTGGGCAACATAACTGAAAAAGCTCCAGATGCTATGATACGGCATATTTTAGCATCATGTGGCCCATCTTGTGTGCAATCTTGGAAAAGAGTTCAAGGTAAAGCTCCCTTTCAGCTGTTATTCATCTGCCACAATTCCATTTTTTATCTCTAGTCTTATGAAATATCTGCAAAACCATTTGTATCTGTACCATATCATAATTTGTTGTGTCTTTGCAGCCTTTGGGTTCTGTGAATTTGCTGGTCCAGACTCAGCTCTCAGAGCTATTCGCCTTCTTCATGACATGGAAGTTGGCAATAAAAAATTAGTTGTCAAAGTAGATTCTAAAACACAAATAGAGCTTGATAAGTACAAAGGTTTGTATTCTCTTCCATCTGGCGATGAGTTATTTAACCAAATATTTTGTCTTTGTGAAATATAATTACCTTTGGGAATAATTGTAGCGGAAAAACGAGAGAAACGTTCTAACTCTCCTCTACAAGATGAAGCAGCCGACGAAGATGACTATTTAAGTGAGGAGATGCGTCAGGCCGACAGGCAAGCCATGGAGCGTATCAGAACTATCATGCATGAATTTGAGCCTGACCTAAACAATGCCTCTCATGGATCTAAGGATCGCTCAAGTAAGTCTTTACTTTTCAAACAAAACATCATCTGTCTGTCTTGAAAACATGACATAATGGAGCAATTTTGCTGCAGGGAAAGATTCAAAAATTTCCAGGACTCAAGAGAAGCTAATGAAACTAAGTAGAGATGGTGCTGGAGAAGATGGTGATATTTCATTGGTTAGTTGCTGTTAAAACAAAGAAGCTGTAGAAGGACCAACCTGCTAGGTTGTGAAAATGTTCCTTCGTTTTTGAGCAGTATTGGCAATCCATATGTAATTTCGATGCCTTTCTGTTTTACAGAATTTAGATGATGCTGACATTGAGGAAGGAAAAAGGGACTTAATTACCAGAGAAATTGGGAAGTTCAGAGAAACAATGAAGGTAAGTCAAGTTTTTATCATTAATTTAAATTCTTCCACACATTGAAATAATTTTAGTAGCAAGGGACAGTTTGTTTCAGTCTTCCCATTACTTTCTTCGTCATTTCTTTCTTTTATCTCTTTATTAATGAAGGGAGCTATTATTAGTTTCAATTTTATATCTAATTGTTGGTTGAGTTAGTAGGGATTGAATTCAATGAGCCGGATTGAATACATAGCATTGTAGTACTGTGACTCTGGTGACACTTGGATATTCCTTAAAACTATAGGGAGACGCATATTGTTTGGGTTGCTGAAGGATCACCGCGCAGCTCGCTATTGTTTTGTGTCAGGATGGGTGAGTAGCTTGATCATCAGTTGGAAACTGTTACCTATTTGCTCTTGACCTTTCTTCTATGGTCTGGACTGTCAGGATCTGACTACTTTTTTCTCATGTTTTCAAGTTGTCTTGAGTTGTACTATACTCCAACATTTAACAAAAATAATTTTTTGTGAGATATTTCTATCACAACACTCTTCGTTTATATTTAAAAGTCAGCTCAGTCTACAATATTTTTTAAAAAATATGTTTTGTGATCCCCTTCAGTCCTGATCTTCTCACACAATTTAGCCTCCCATCCCACCAGTCTTTTTAAGCTACTATAATAATCAGTTTCTTTTCCAAATCTTGTTAAAAGAGAAACATTGATTTGATGAATGAGATTGTATATCGACAAACAAGTATTATATGTGAATTCTTGTCAACTCTTTTTCTTTCTTTTTTTTTTCTTATTTGAAGTAACCTGTATGACAGATAATTCACAATGACACTGCTACATTAATATGAAGAACTGCAGAAAGACACGCAAATAAGAAACCTAAAATGTCATCTAAAATTTAAATCTAATCAATATCTGGTTAAATTATGTGACTTGCCAAATTATTAGTTTTATGTCTTGTTATGGTGCAGAACATATTTATGACATGAGCCTCTTAGCCATAAACTTATGTACTGGAGTGAAGGTAAACCAGGTTATCATGTCTCTAGTTAATATAGCTTCTCTTGCATGGCCTAGCTCTTCCATGATCACCCCGTGGTGTGTTTTGAAGGTAACAGGTGGAAAGCAGCAATCTGTTCTTGGCTGATCTCATCTGACCTCCTTCACGTGCAGTTTCCATCTGTTTGGTATCGTTCTGATGATCTGTACTTGAAAATGGTTTTTTCTTGTTTTCTTTTTTCAACATATTTTTTTTTCTTTTTCTTGTTGCTATCTTAATTTTTGGTAACAGTAAAATAAAATTTGTATGTTTGTTATGTTTTAAAAAATTTAGCTATACCTATAAAGTACCAAATTTGTTGAAAGAATGAATGAATCAATGAGTGAATGACAAATCGCCATTAAACAGTTGATTTAGTTTGTATAGAATTGAACAAATCTCACCTGTCTAGCGATATGTAATGATAATTTTTTTTTATCATGCAGACAGGACAGAAAATCTTAAGTGATTCAGAGGCTTAACAATTAACTGTAAGGGATTAAAATATTTTGGTCGAAGTCGTATTATGGCAGTCTAATCTGAGCTAATTATGGATTCAGAACCAATTCATCTGATATACATATATTTATTGATTTTTGAGTTCCTATTAGCTCATTATAAACGAAATCGAAGAAAATGACTGCCGACACTACCTAGTTTCTTGATTGCTAATTTACCACATTTTCCCATTTTTCATGCAACGCCGAGAAGCAAGAGGAGGAGAAACTCATGGAGCAGGATCGCAAGCGAAAAGAGTACGAGGAGAAGATCCGCGAAAGAGAGCTGGACCGAGCCCAGGAGCGCGAGAAGGATAGGGCGGACCGCGCCGACAGAGACAAGGAGCGCGCCGAGCGGGAGAAGGAGCGCGCCGACAGAGAGAAGGAGCGCGAGCGCGAGCGGGAGCGCGAGAGAGAGCGCGACAGGGAGCGGGAGAGGGACCGCAAGGAGGACAAGAAGAGCTCCGTCTCGCCCGTCAGGCTGAGGTTCTCTCGGTCGCCCCAGGACGTTCGCTCCAACCGCTCAAGGTCGGCGTCGCGCGAGGGCACCCGGGGCACGCGGAGCCAGTCCATCGAGAGCACGTACTCCAGCAAGACCAGCATTAAGGCGAGGGAACGCCGCCGGTCTCGCTCCAGGTAAGAGCGCGTCATTCGCACTTGAGGGGTAGACTCCACTATAAATTCAAGCGTTCCCTGATTTTTCTGTTGTATTTTCCCTTGACGTTGTTCTTGACTCTTCTTGATTTTTTTTGCGCGGGGGGGGGGGGGGCACAAATTTTTCAAAGTGTAGTTCCTCTTTGACGCAACTGGCATAGTAATCTTGATTTTATTTCTTGCAGGTCCCACGAGAGGGAGAGGGAGCGAGAGAGGGAGCGGGAGCGGGAGCGCGAAAAGGAACGGGAACGCGAGCGCGAGAGGGAGCGCGAGCGGGAACGGGAGCGGGAGCGGGAGCGGGAGCGGGAGCGAGAACGGGAGCGCGAGGTGAGGGACCGGGATCGCGACCGGGAGCGCGAGCGGGAGCGGGAGCGCGAGGAGCCGCGGCGGCCGGAGCGCGCCCGCGAGGAGGAGGACGAGGCCAAAGACAAGAAGAAGCTGGAGAGGAAGGCGCGCGAGAAGGAGGCGCAGTACCAGGAGAGGCTGCGCAGCTGGGAGACGCGGGAGCGGAGGAAGATCAAGGACCTGGACAAGGAGCGAGACAAGGAGCGCCTCAAGGAGGAGGAGCGGGAAAAGGAGGCCAAGAAGCTCAAGGAATTTCTCGAGGATTACGACGACGAGAGGGATGACATCAAGTACTACAAGTAGGTTTAATTTCTCCTTCTTTCCTCTGCCAGCTGTGTAGTCATGTCAACATCTTGAACTTTGCTAAATGGTTTGTGAAATTAATTGATGCAGAGGCAGAGAGCTGCAGAAAAAACTAGCCGAGCGCCAGAAAGAAATTGAGGCAGACACCAGAGATAGACAGAAAGAAAAGGACGAGCTTGAAGAATTAAAAACCAAGATATTTTCTGAGGAGCATGCTGATCCTAATGCTGAGTTTGAAAGGGTAAGCTTATCCCTGACTTTCTATGGTTAACTCATTGTTGGCAGCCACTGAACTGTCCCATTGTTGTGCTGTTCTGTTGGTAGGAAGTAGACAACAACTAGAATTCCAGTACTTTCTGGTGGTGTTCTGTTAATTTCAATTTCAGCTTGAGTTTGTATGATCTAATTATTTTTTTTCAGCTACGGAGGGAACATGAAGATCAATATAAGCCTAAGATTATAATTGATGTAAATTTGGAGAACCTTAAGCAACGAGAGAAAGAAAAAGAAAGAGAGAAACAAAGAGAAATGGAGCGTGAAATGGAAAGGGCTGCCAAGGAAAGAGAAAAGGAATTGGAGAGACAGGAGAGAGAACATGAGCGCATGATGAGAGACTCCTCTGAACACATCTCTAGTGACCATGAAAGGCGAAGGGGAAGTGATCATTCTGACACGAAGTCTCATGGTGACGATGGTCATCACCACCACCACCATCGCCATAAACATCATCACCACCACCACCATCAGCGACAAGTATCATCAGGTTCTGGACCTGCTAGTCCTGCCCCAAGCTCGCCAGATGATGATGATCATCACTATGACGATGGGCCTCCCGAAGAAGATGATGTGGCATTTTGCCCCCCACCTAGTAATGGAGCCTCAGGTATTAAATTGTTAATTTGATTAATTTACGTCATTATTTGCTACTGTATACTGTTCATTTATCTATATCATCACTACTTTCGTGTTTCCAGCTCATTGGATCTCTCCAGCTAAGATTGATTTAAAGAAAAAAGAAAAGAAAAAAATGGGTGTTAAAGAAGCTTTCAATACAGATGACGATGAAGATAGCAGTTTAGGCTCTGCAAAGAAAAGGAAGCTCATTCCTCTTGGTAAATCAAACAATTTCACATCGTCCTTGGTTGGCCTTTCCTAATTTTGTCTAAATTTCCCTCTAACTTGTTTTGTTCATCTATGTTTGTAGATTATGGTGATGAAAAGAAGAAGGTTGATAAAAAAGATGAAAAAGACAAAGAAAAGGAGAAGAAAGATGAGATTAACAAGATTCAAGAGGAAAAGAGGAAACACATCAAGTCTCTCATTGATAAAATTCCAACAGACAAGCAAGCTCTGTTTCAATATGAGCTTGACTGGTCAGCTGTTGATAATGTGTGTATTAATTTCTGGAATTTATTTTATGCTAGTGTTTACTTGTGCATTTCAACATGTTGTTTCTTTTTCAGACATTAATGGAAAAAAGAATAAGACCCTGGATTAACAAAAAGATTATTGAATACATAGGTGAACCTGAACCAACTTTAGTCGATTTCATTTGCTCAAAAGTAATGGCTGGGAGTGCACCTCAGGGTATTCTTGATGATGTGCAAATGGTAAGTTTTGTGCCACCATTAACCATTCTGAAACATTAATGTGCTGACTGTTCAGCTAACTGCAGTTTTTAACTAAAAATATTTTCGATGTTTAGGTCCTTGACGAAGAAGCAGAAGTATTTGTTGTGAAAATGTGGCGTCTTCTCATTTATGAAATAGAAGCAAAGAAACTGGGACTTATTAAATGAGAATGGCTTACCGGCTCTAAGAGAGCCGGATCCAAGAGTTCAAAAAAATGTGACTCCCCAGAGTTTGTTCCATAAGTTGGCTGTGGTCAAGCAAACTCTTCTCTGGTTTCATCCTTTACCCGAGACAAACTTTAATCCCAAGACAAAGAAAAGACACTGCCGAGGGGGCCTTTGCCCATTTCCAATAAAATCCTCACCAACTGGGATGAATCTTAAGCCTGTATTAGAGAAAGCACTGGATCAAAAAATGTGCTAGTGTTCTTTCTTAACTGTGTTTGTCAGTGAGACTTTAGTGAGAATGAATTCTTCTGAACATAGATCCATCCCCATTTGCTGATCTTACGTGCAACTGCAACACCCTGGATTTGACCATTAAGTTATAACAGTGTTTTCACATTGAATCATGTTGTTTCCTGTGTCAGGGCCTTTACAGTATGTAATGATTTTTTTAGTGCAGTCATATTCATTATGTGATGTATAAATAAATTGTATCTTAATTTAGATGGGAATCAGTATTTCTAAATATGTCTAAATAATCACACATGCGCAGAAAAAAATAATCATAGTACATGATTTTTATAATTTTAATTCAAAAATTGCTGGCTGTTCAAAGTTAATACCACAGTATCAATTTAGCTGTAATTTTAACCAATGTTGACAAATTAAAATTAATCACTTGGGGTATACGCAACAAATTTTCCATAGATCCATATGTCAACATAACTTTCTTTCTAAATAGAAAAAAGTTTTAAAATATTTTTTTTTTTTTTACTTCAAACTAGCTTTGAGTAACAAAACAAAGCTTTAAACCTTAGATTCTGAATCACAGTGTGATGGAAGATGATTTTATCCATGACAAGTACCACTTAATTTAATTCTGCCAAACGTCATCAATGCATGTTTGATGAGATAAAAGGGCATTTTGACTTAGCTCTTGGATTCTATAAAATGTAAATATATTGATCAAGACAGTTTAACACAGACAAGCAGAGGCTACCGACGTGCATACATCATATGCAAGTCTTAATGAATCACAATAGTTGATATAAATATTGCAATAGCAACAATATTTTCCGTGGTATTCAAGAAGACTCAAATGAATCACCTCAAATTAGAATCAACAAGCTCCATTATAGCCCTTGCACTTAACTGAGTATCATAGATTTTGAGACCCCTCTGCAAGGCAAAGCAAACACCTAGATATATTTTTAATTCACCCATTCAGAAAATGTGGTCTCATTAACCCAGTACTGGAAGACCTCGTTATTTGCGAGATGGCGTGTTCTGTACTGAATGATTATTACACGCCAAATGCAGAATGACATTTAAGACTTGACCAAACTGGACCATAACATGAGGCTGGCTGATAAAAGATTAAGTTTTTTGGGGGGTTTTAAGATAACACAAACATATATTGAAACTTACATATACAACAGTTCAGGCATCCTTTTAGTCAGATACACAAACATACAGATGTACAACATACTTAAATTATCTAATGCTACAGACCAGACACACAGAAACCTTCTAGTCATGGCTGTGTCAATCTATTGCAATAAAGGTAACAGTAACAACAACTTGTAAGATGCCAGCGCAGGACCAGCATGGCTAGATTCATAGAATTAAAAAAAAATGGCATCAAACTATAAATTCTCAACATAATGAAAATATTTCATTATTCAGTATCTCAATAAATATAATTTCATTTATACTGAACAGTAAAAGTTATGTGATATTCACATGTACAAATTAAAATATGTTAAATCCACTGAGTCAAACGAATTTGATATATCTAAAACCATTACTCTTTGCGAAACAGTGATAATTGATGGTTTAAATTAGGTCACATTTTAATCATGAAAAATGAATGAAACCATGAAAATAAAAAAATTATGAGCGAAGGAGTTCTTGTATTCACTGGCCCTGTACTTGCTGCCATCCTTAATGACCTGGACGGAGCAACCAGTTGGGAGCTTTGGGTTTGACTAAAGGAACGGCAGTGATCGTTGGGCTTTAAGCCCTCTTAAGTGTACATTTGAGGTCATTTTTCAGTCTCTCGACAGTCCCCAGGCTTGTAGTCTAAATGATACTGACCTGTTGTACAGAAAAGTTACAGATTAGTTTATGATTTACCATAGAACAAGACTCAAACAGGTAGTAAACAAAACAATTTGGGAGGTACAAACCTTGTTGAGTAATTTCTTCAAAAGTTGAATCTTTGCAATCAGAGCCCTGGTGTCCCTGCCGTCCACAGTTGTAGCATGACAGTTTGGGGGGAGGATGTGCAGGGGAGAAAGCAACTATTGGGGTTGTTAAGTATTGGGGGGTTGGTTGGGGCGGCTGAGGGAAGGGGCCCCACATCTCTCCATTAGGAGGAAACGGGTAGGTGGCACCTGCAGGGAGAAAGCTTCCAGATTGAAATCTATGAAAAGCATGCATTGTGGTAAAAGGGGAGTGTGGAAGGTATGTCGATACTGGCGGGGCATGATATGGGACATTACTAGGTATGCCTGAAGCAGCTGACATGGCATAAGGCGGTGGGTTGTTCATGTCTGATGGAACACCATTCATTGGACTGACAGGATCGCGGCGACTTTTATCTACCAAAGGGTGGCCCCGACCACGAGGTATTGTTGGAATACCTGGCGGTGCTTTACTAAGGTTCAGGCCTCGACTCCTGCAGAAAAGAGTAAAATGTAAGTGGAAATGAAAGATACGCAACAATCTACCAGAATTGCTTTCATTGATAATCCCACCTGTTAACAGAGTTACGTTGTATTCCAGGAGGCTGAAAGTTTGAACCTTGTGATCTATCTTCCATTATATGCTCTCTTTCATGTAACCTATCTTCCCTCATTTTATCTTCACTGGCTGTGGAGTTCCATGATTCAGCTCCAGAATCCTTTCCAGAGTAACCTAAGGGAGGAACATATTTTAACATTAAATATATCAGTCAAGATAGAAAAAGCATTCTCAAAACTGCTGAAGGAAAAAAATTTGATTTCATCTTACCTCTGTCAAAATTTGGAACTTCTGAAATGAGTGGGAGTGATGGTGTTTCTGGAGGAGAGTGACTTCCACTGGAACAGTCAGAGGTGCTGCTGCTGTTGGAGCATGGCCTGCGACTGTCATCCTCCAGCTGAAGAGCTCGTACTTGATTTGTCAACTGAAGGTGTTGATTCCGCTTGTTGCCTTTATGAAATGCTCCACCATTACTAACAGGGTATGATGGCACCACATACCCATAACTTACAGTGCCAGGTGGAGGGCCCTGACTATTAGGTAAAACTACTTTATTATCTGACCCATAATAGTGCCTCCTTCTAGGAGCTGAGCTCTAAAGAGGAGAAGAAAGAATTTTAGTAATAAGAAATACACAGATGAAAATAATTTTTTGAAAGAAGGAAAATTCTAACCTCATTATGGAATATCCCATCACTTCTGTTAGTACAATTTATGCCATTGGTTGAGTGAAGTTTGTTCATGATAGATCTAAGTTGCTGAATGGCACTTAACGGTAAGCCTATTTCTTTAAGGTGATCGTCACCCATATGAAGAAGCTTTTATGTAACAAGGGATTAAAATAATAATTAAACCATCAATTTAACAAAAATAAATGCTAGACAAATTGAGACAATTATGAAAGTAGCTGATTTACCTCATCTGGAGAGAGATCTTGTAAATTGGCCTTGTATTTTGGCATTTCACGAACAATTACTTCTTTTAAGTTATCACCTGGGGCAAACCACTGACCCGGAGGTTTAGCTGTCACATGTACATGGGGACTGCCAGTAGCTGCAACTTGACTAGGGAATTGCTGCAACTGACTTGAAGCAGCTGAACTTGCTTTAGTAATGGACCCTTGAGGTACAGGTGGTAAAGCATCTGTACCCATATAGATATTGGGAGAAATTTGGAAGGACTGTGGAGTTTGAATTGGAACCTGCAATGGGTTCGGTGCACTATGAGCTGACTCTTGATCAAGTGGATGAGAACCACTACTTGAGTGAGAAACCTGAGAGGAAATAAGAGAGTAAGGTCACTGAAATAACAGATCTGGTGTACTTTGGTTTAAAAACAAACCTGCACCTTTGATGAAGGTGGTGGTGTTTCAACTCTTGCAGGGAGAGGAGATGATGGCCTGCTGCTCCTCCTTTCATCTTCATCAACTTTATTACAAATATCTTTGGGAATAGAAACTTGGTTTCCAAAGGCACTAGATGTAGACACAACTGTTGCAGGACTAGGAATACTATACGAGGAACATGCAATGGGAAGCGCTTGAGGGGAGGAGATGGAGCTGGTCAAATGTAAATGATGAGCAGTTGAAGTAACTGGTTTGATGACAGGTGCATGAGTGACTGGTGCGGGACCTACAGGAGGACCTGGAATATGTCCAACAATCGGGACCATCATTCCAAAGTGAGAAGGGCCAGGGTAACCCACTGGAATAGATTCAGAAGGCACACACATCATTGGCTGCATCATGCTGGGACGACCAAGAGGGCCGTTAGGCAGACCCATTTCACCTGGAAGTAGAAGAGAGATTGCCATTAGCTTTGTTGGACAACTTGCAGGAAATATAAAAACTGACATTGCATATGGCGATTCCTTACCCGAAGATGACATCATGCAGTGACTAGTTGATGGAGTGAGAGGCATCACCATGCCAGGCCAAGTCATAGGACCAGCATCACTACCTAATCTCGAGGCAGGATCTGGTGAGTGGCCTTCAGCATGAGACTGGCCCACAGGTGAAGAGACTGATGAGACCATAACATGAGCAGAATTCATACATGTAGCCTGATGAAGTGGAGAGGGGAGCACGGCACTGGTGTACACCGACCCCGATAGTACATGGCAAGTTAGTTGATTAGGATGAGACATGACTGATATTTGACTAGAACTATCTTGGATTTCCACCGAGTTTGTAGAGTTCTCCTTGAGTTTACAAGGAGTTTCAGGAATGGAATTTGGCGACTTGGACAGCTGTAAACAAAACACTGATTACGAAACAATTCATACAGCAATAGTATTGATATTGATGGTTGAAGTACTTCAGATAATAGCAGTTTACATTGGTTGACAAACTAATTTCTAACAACTATATCCTATAACTAAAATTGTAAAACAAAATAACAACTTACCCTTGCAGCTTTGTTGACTTCATTTTTGTTTGAATGAAGAATGAGCGACAGTTTTTGGTCCTCCTCTTTGAGGCGAGAGAGGTGCTCTGCAAATTCTGTCTTTTGGTGCACATTGAATGCTGGGTGCTTCACAGCAATTGTATACAACAATAAAAGTTCATCCAAGACTTTTTCCGCATTCTCTGGTTCAGATCGACAGGTCTGACTAACGGCTGCAGGGCAGAGGGCCGTTAGTGTGTCGCTGAGGCAATTGGCAGCATCGGTGTTGCAGGACTTGAGTAGAGATGCATAGAGGACCAGCTTTCTTCGGGTGTTTTCATCCATGAGGGACTGATATGACGCGAGATGGTTTACATTATTGGCATCCCGTTCGTCCTCTCTCAGCTCGTAGAAATCACGTTTACCGAGAAACTCGAGGCATGTGCCCAGGAACCGTAATTCGTACGGAAGACACAAATCTAACAAGCTACAGAGCAGGTCCACGCGCTCGTAGCTGCGTACATTTCTAAATTCAGAAAGAACATCGTTCTTAACCAGCATTTTAATCCTGCTAACATCCAGCCAATGTATCACTGGACCCCCCGAACCCAAACTTCATGAAGATCTGAGATGAACTGAAAAATGCAAGGGACCATCAGACTAACTGAAAATAACAGTACCAACTGAACCGCCCAATGAATAATTTGCAAATGATAAATTGCACGTTGCTGGCAAGTTAAAACCGTAGACCATCACCCCAAACTTCAATTCACTCCCCGCAAAAATCACGAATCAGTTACGGGCTTGCGATTTGGGAGTACTAATCCTCACAACAATATCAGTCGGTTCAATCAGGTGGGCCAAACTTTTTCGCGTTAGTATGAGAACATCACGGTGACACTTTTTAATTTCTCATACCACCGAGCCGTCTGCTACGCGCTCGCTGCTGCTGCTGCTGTCGTTTGCGCCAACAAGCAACTTAAAGTTAACTTTGAATGAAATAAAAGGGGAATATCCACCGCTCGAGGCTCACAATGCAGCGAATCACACGTTTGCGGCCGCGTCACATCCACGACACTTGGTCTGCGACGCCCGGCGGGCACTCCTTGCAGCACGGGATGGGAGGATGGGCGGCGAGGGGGGCGAGGGGGGC